GAATGCCTCACAAAAGTTTGTGCACGACCCATTTCGAAGTATTTCCCCAAATGCTTGCTTTAGCATTTCATAGGTTTCCGTAGCCGTTTTGGCGAGTCTTTGGCAAAATTTGATGCACACGCCATTCCGAAATCGCAGGAGGGTCGGTGTAATGCACTACCAAAACGCCCGTAACTAAGAAACAAATGCTAATTCGATGATGCCGGCTGACACACTGATTCACTATGAATGTAGGCCGCACCCCCTAAAGGCAGAAGCTCGTACTACATCCGGTTCGCCCGCTATTGACACAGTCTCGAAACTTTCCGATCGCACCTCGTAAGTCATAAGACAATAAGCATGCATAGTGGTTCGTGTCACGACTAAAATATTCACTCGTAATTTCAACGTCATTATAAGCCAGTGTTTTGGAATGAAGTTTAAGATTCGTGATGCTTAGAACACGGTCTTACTGAAATTATTTGAGGAAATCGTCAGTACAAAAAATAAATGAAGTGGGTTATTTTCAACGCTTCCAATTATTTCTGTGGCGTTCGCATTTTATGGTTCAGAACTCCCCAGACAGAAGCCAGCGTACCTCCATCCGTTTCCTGATTCCGTAACAAACTCGGTATGAACATCATTCCACAGGACGTCCTTTCGATCGTAATGTTTTCCTTCCACTGCTCCTTGCCTCTCTCATTTTCTGGTGTCCATGCGGAACAGCTGGTTAATAGTCCTAGTTTCTCAGCTCTTTTATTGTGAATATCGCTTGATGCATTATTCAGACCAATGTCTTTATTGTCTTGTTCCTGTTTTGTTGGTATCCTATCAAGAAGACTTGTTAGGGTGTAGAACAGAACGGGGGTTATTCCAAGATAGGCTAAAATCTATTTGCATTACGCTTTTACTAAAGAGGAAAAAGGGCATTTGTGTTGCGAATTTAAATCACTTTCCTGTCAGATATATAACTTACTCATTACATGCGGGATTCTGAATGTTTAAACGAGTATGGAAAATTGTAACAATTCTGGAGAGTTGAACATACTTTGAAAGTTCAGCGTTCATAATGGCGTTAGCGATTGCAAGTATTGTCTCGAGATTCACTAGGTAACCATGGAAACCAATTAGGAAGCAAGAAAATTATTTCGACTTTATCCGAAAGGACGAATGTCCTTTATTAAGACAAGATAAAACGTTGCTTTTGTAACAGTGTTTAAAAAGATGCGCCATAACGACTCCGGCTCCAGATGGAGATGAAAATTCCGTGCCTTTGCCGGGAATCGAATCTGTATCTGGTTCCTGATTATTTCACGTCCTTTAGGTAATTGTTGGTGCTAAGATCTCTGACGAATCTGACATTGGGTCATGAGACGGCCGCGCCAATGCTTGTTTCTTGTTCATAGGATTGCCAACAGCCGTGATGCGTTTAGATGCCACGACTCTTGAAAAGGATACGGCGTCGGGCCAAAGACGAGGCGCCACCCGTACGTGGGGTACGAGGGAAGATGGCATCGGCATCGCCGTGTCGTCCACTTCAGCTTCGGCCTGTCGTCAAGCCGTGGTCTTCCCCAGCGTCGGTTTTCAACATCCCGATGGAAATAGCACCATAACGCCCGAGTCTCCCGCCGTCATTGATGGTCAAAGGTAGGACAAGATTTTAGTCTAGACTTAGGTGGTTATGTTTATTATTTCGTGTTCTGTCTGACGACAGGTCCATATGAACAGGATCCTTCCATCCTTTTCTCGGACTGGGACCTGTTCATATAAGTTCTTGGCAGATGATCCAGAAGTGGTTTGCCATTGCCTTCTTCTGTGTGTGAATGGAGTAATTATTGGGATGCCACGGAGGAAAACTCCGTGTTGCCTAGACCACGGCCTTGCCCAACACAAGTGATAAATTCGGCCACCGCCGGGAATCGAACCCGAGACCCCAGGATTACAAGGCCAGCGTCCTAACCGCTAGACCATGGTGGCAAGTATGAGAATAGCTGTCTTCTGGGACCCTGTGCTGTATCATCTCACAGAAAGTGACCAACATATAAGAGGTGATATTTATTTAATTTTACTTTTCCTATGCTGACAACTTATCTTGGCTTGATACCAGCAGATCAGTTTGGTCTTACGTCTATGTACTTACTGCAACGGTGGTTACCATAAATTAAATGTTTGCCGCCGTGAATACCCCAAATTTCGGTAGACATTTTTGCTCGAGACGGTGCACAGATAAATTTCTGTGCAATCTCACAGGTATTCTCGGCCAACTTAATTTCTCTTCGGGTATACAATTACGAAACATTTAGCAAGAGCCTCCTAATTCATTCCTTTATCCGATCATTACAATTGAAATATCTTTTCGGAGAACGATGCTTTGTGGCGAAGTGTTATGTACGCACAGCCCAGAGGGCTCAAGACAAGGACGAGGTACAGGTGCTATGTCACCTTCTAAGTCCTTCTTCGTCACAGAAAGGGTGTTTGTTATTACACGACAAACGTTTCTGAGAATATTGATTTGTAGCCTTTACACATTTTTTTTTTGAGGAAGGAAATAGTTGCTTAGCCAGTTCTCGCGACGGTGAATTAAAATATTATTTATATTAAGCAGTAAATTGGGAAGGGAAACTTATTTTTTATATTGATATCTACTGTATTTGTATTCTCTACTAGTATTCAAAACATTGTAGGTCACAGTTTAATACGCACGTCTCTACTCAGCCATCTTCAATTGATTTCACACATTTATGTCTCAATCTTGAAGACCAATATCTTCATCTTCACCGTAAAAGCACCTTAAAGCTCAGCTGTGCTTATTTACAATGGAAATGGTTTTGGAAGCTTCAGGAGGAGAGCCATGAATCACGCACAATAGAATGGTCTTCAGTTTCAGTTCAAGTAATTTTATCGAATGGACCAACGTTAATGTAAATGTTAAGTTAAAACAAACCGAAAAGTTAAGAGCACCACAGGCCAACGTGCAACAAAGATTACGGCTGGAAGCTTCGGGTGTAGGCAACCAAACATACAGAGCTGATGGTTGAGTCATCTAGATGTTGGAGGAGGTCCAATGTTGTACGTTTTTGGAATTTTCTTTACTTGCATATAAGAATTTTAATTTTTTTTCATCGAGTTTAATCTTAATAATTTCTGAGGTTATTCTTAAATTATTTTAGTGTTTCTGTTGGTATTTTCTTTTAACAGCGCAGAAGAAAACATTTTTTAAAGTATGAATGAGTACTGGAACTATTATTTTTGTAGATGCGACGAGACCCTGAACATCCATACATAAAATAATAAGAGTAATATTAAAATGTGAAATTACAGAATAAAATTGTATTGAAGATTGAACTGAAAAAGTGTTTATTTTGTAATTTTTACATGCTTTAGTGTTAGTGTCTTGTTGAATTTAATTGCATGAAAAGTACGGACTGTTTCATGCAGTTCGATTAAGTCTGTATGTAAATTAGCCTAAAGGATGGGCGTTGTGATAAAATTGATTGTGGTGGTAGTTATGGTTACATATTGTAGGGTTGCGTACTTTTAAACAGTTTTGTTTTGATTTTTGTTAATAAATTTATTAATAACAATTGGCGCGGCACGTATATGAAGTGGAAACTAACAGACTATTTTAATTTTGTCTTGGAAGTCACTAATTACAGTATTAAGTTAATACTGTGGTGAGATTTATTTTAATCTAGGAGATAAAATGCAACTGGAGAAAAGCACGTTGAAGATATTAATTATATCTTCTCTTCACCAAATATCAGAGTGATATAATCAAGGGAGGTGAGAGTGGCTAAGTGTATTACGCATGGGAATTGTGAGAAATTAATAAAATATTTCAATCGGAAAACCAAAAAGTTGACGATTAGTAACACCTACTCATAGGTTGGAAGATGATATTAAGACGGATTTTAGAGGTATGGTGTAAGGGCATGGAGTGGATTCATCTGGCCAAAATAAGAGACGAAGTCTGTTCTGAACATGGAAACGAGCACTGGGGGGTTCTATAAAAACGGGATTTTTTGAGTAGCCCAGCGACTATCAGCTTTTCAACAAGGATTCTGATTGGAAGTTATTTTATTCTGTGAAATTATCGTGAATCTGAGGTGGTATGACCAGCGAATTATTATTACTAGCTGTAAATGCGAAGTCTGTTTTTGAAAGATGTGAACAGCCTCGCTACCAAAAGCAAGCTTTCTGTTCAGTAAACCGGCGCCTCTGTATCACGTCGTAAATTTGTCATTCTCTTTGGGTTTCGTTACCTTGACGTAATGTTAAGGGATGTTTCTTCCTTCGTGTCTAATGGCTGTAAGGCTGAATTACAGATAAAATTGGTTCTGAAAACAGCAAAAGTACAGACGAATCCTTGTGACAGACATTACTGTTGCAACCGCACGACATAAATAGATGAAAAGCTTGCTGTGTACGAGGTGCGATCGGAAAGTTTCAAGACTGTGTCAATAGAGGGCGAACCGGATGTAGTACGAGCTTCTGCCGCTAGGGGGTGCGGCCTACATTCATAGTGAATCAGTGTGCCAGCCGGCATCATCGAATTAGCATTTGTTTCTTAGTTACGGGCGTTTTGGTAGTGCATTACACCGACCCTCCTGCGATTTCGGAATGGCGGATTTTCTCTTCGAGCACAACGCCCGAAAATGTTACGAAGATTCGGCACGCCATTCACGAAGATCGACGTCGTACCATCAACGACTTGTGCGACATTGTTGGGATAGGCTATGGGACCTGTCAGCAGTCTGGAAACTTTCCGATCGCACCTCGTATGTGAACGTACATATTTTTCAAACACAAGAATTCGATGCAATGAATATAATCGTTTCAGAGGAACAAGTTCTGTGAGAAAATATCGTGTATTTTTATGTAACGTGAATTTGTACAATTTCGCGTCGAATTTCAAATATCTTTTATAAATGATGGGCTTTTGTGAGAAAAAAGGACATGTGTGGTTGAATTTAGATTTGGTTTAAAGTAGACCCAGCTTTGCGTTGCTGCAGTGCGGTCTGAAATTGATGACGTCATGCAGATCTTAGTGTAGACGCCCAATTGATTTAAACTCCGTACTTTCCAGAAAATGTCTTGGCTTCTCGCAGTGGACCTAACGTTTTGCCACCACGCGGACGTGGAAGGATAAGAAATGCCACCTTTATCATTATAATTATGCACAGATTTTCTGTGACGTCATAATCCCTTGGTAATAAAGTGTCTGGTACCAAGCGGTTAGCCTAAAGTAAAACCAGTTCATTCCGTGATCTATCTGTGCGTCCTGAAACATGGTGATGCGACAGTATTATGGGACTTTGTAAGTACGAAGCAAGCGAACAGGGTTGGGCAGTAGCCACATTCATTATTCACGTGCAAAGTTGCACAACCCCTCCCTCACAATTGATTTATTTCAGACACAAGTCATTAAGTTACTTCCGAGCCTCGTGCTAGCGGTTAGCCTGATTTCGCTTTTCAGCGTATTTTATCGTTTTATGCGGACGTAAGTTTCGTCTCCTTACCGATATTTTTTTAGTGTTAGATAAGAATATTTCAAGTGCAGTGCTACTCATGCGGTGAAAGTCGTTTGTGTAAATTTAACCTCTCTGAATGTTGAAGTTTATTTTTGTTATGGTTTTGCTGGAAACATTCGCTGCTGTATGAAGAAACAGATATGAGACAAGTTGTTAATTATAACATCTACTTGCCAGTACGTTAAATGAAACTACGCTTCAGTATAGAAACGCGTGGGGCGGTTTGTGAGGAGCGTGCGACATGTCGTAGGGGTTGTTTTCAATTTCTCCCCCTTTATTCTGTATGTCATTTATTTATTCCTTTTTTATTCATTTGGTAGTTTGCTTCTGAGTCGCTGCCGTGTGTAAATACAAACGTTTCGGAGGAATATTTTGCATCCATCTTCAGGGTATCGATATCATCACCGTGATAATCTTAAATCTTACATGTTTCTTGTTTTGATCGGTTTATCCTTTGTTGCTTTAAACGTTTCTTCTATCTCCCTGCCTGTTTTTAACATTTCTGATTTATGAGATGGTAAAATTGCGTCATATTGTGATATAATAAATATATATTTAAATATTGTCCGTCTAATCACAATAAATTCTTATTAAATATTAAAATATTACAATAATTAACATTTTAAAATATTAAATGATGTTCTTTAAATGTTAATTATTGTAATATTTTAATATTTAATAAGAATTTATTGTGATTAGACGGACAAGATTTAAATATATATTTCTGCTTTATTCTTTAACTTTCTCTCTTTTATTTTCTCACTCATTCCTCCTGATTTCCTTTCCACTTTCTTTCATTCATTTAGTGTTTGTTTACCTCTCGTCTTTTCCCCGTTCTGATTCATTTTAATTGCCTGCCTTGTGTCGACATTTATAAAATGCTTTTTCTCTATCCTCTGCTTAGACGCTATGACTTATTTTCAAAATGAATTCTGAAACGATGGATCATTCCTCACGCACATTAAGATCCGTGAAAACGGAATATGGATTCATTATCATCCCAGCAACGCAACAGTAATTTTATACGTTTCACCAATCTTCATAATGATTACTAATACTTGGACCGTTAACTGCTAACGGGATATGTGTTATTAATAATATTCTTTCAGCTGTAAT